TTCTCAATATATTTTAACAGACTACCTCCAGTTTATGAGCTTCTGCTATGGCATGATGGGCTGACTCTATGTATTGAAGAACACTGTCCCAAAATTTAATTATCCTGGATAATCACTGCATAGGATAAAATGAGCCATTTTGTTCATCACAACTGCAGCCTTTGCTGAAATGGAGGTTATAGGATAACAACTTAAAGACTAACTCATTAATGCTCAGGGATGGAGGGACTGTGCCAGCAGACCAAAGTGGTGCCCAAATGTTTTCATCTAAAAACCTGTATCTCTTTCGCATGTTGCGATATATTAATGGGGATGTCTTTATCCATTGTCACTGCCTGTGGACATTTGAATAACCCAGACGCAATGCCTGTCTCATCCACTATTGATTCCTTAAACTCTGAGGAGCAATCAGAGGTTTGGAGCAAAATTCTGATGGTGCCATAAAGTGTCTACTTTATAAGGATTCAAATGATGGCATCAGTGCAGTCCCTGCTTTTATTCTCATAGGTGTTTATTAGTGAGCACTATGCCGCCCCCAACTATTTGATGGCAGCAATGGAGTAAATTAGTCCTCCAAAATGTGAGGGCTGTGGATTTATGCTTCCCTGAAAGCATTTCTGTCCTCACAATGTCAAAGTGGGTGACCTTTCTGACGTTAATTTGTTTCTCCATCTGTGCTATGTGTTTCAAGAGGATGTGAGGAACAGGCTTGATGCCACTTATGTGTGTTTCTCCTTTTTGTATTGTTGGAGACTTGCTCTGGGTGTCCCTCTGCTCTTTGTTCAAACTCTCTCCTTTGGCATCTGCTAATATCCTAGCCCTTTGACTGATCTAAATATAATTATGCCTTCTTTTGCCAGTGACAATGTAAAATTGGATGTTTGAAAGAAAAATAAATTTTGAGACATATAGGCACTTTACTAACCTGAATAATAGCATTTGAAAAATGGACCTATGCAGTTAGTTTTCCAAAATTTTGTAAGATAGTCGTTTTTTTTTTTTTTTTTGAAGACTTGCCCCTCATGCCATTGAGGATTGAAGAAGAAAGATCTATTCCCAACAGTCTCCCAAGATCTCTTTACCTGTTTTAATTTAATCCAAATTTAGTAGCGCTTGAACAGAGTAGGATGTACTCATTGATGCAAATTCTAATTTTATGTAATTACTTTTGATACCTGATATTTTCTGGTAAACTCAGGCCCTTTGCAAATAATCTTCAAGAGCAACATGTTTATTAAAAACCAATGCTAAATATCACACATATATTATTCATTTAATTCTCACACAACTGCTGAAATGGGTATTGTATCATTTCCCCACTTTATAGAGGAAGTCATTGAGGCTCAGAGAATTCAACTGATTTTCTTAAGGTCACACAGCTAAGAAATTGTAAAGCTCTGCTTTGCACTTAGCTCTAACTCCGGGGGCCACTACAGATATTTGTCTAAGGATATTGTTTTTGCAAATGTTTTGAATTCTAGGCTGAAATTTAGAGCCCTGCTTTCCCCCTTCCTTCTGTATTTTTGGATGTCATGGTCACTTCAAGCCAGCCCCATGACATGCTGAAGGGGGAAGGGGAAGACACTTTGGAGCCAGAGAGATTTCTTGGCACTTTGTTCCCTGTGAGGAGCTTGGAAAACCAAGTCCAAGGACAAGTATTCAGATCTCAAGAACCTGCTATGTACCTCTGTCTCTTGGTGGTGTTGAAGCCTGCTTACTTGTCCTCCTCCCCACCCTTTCCATCTGCTTCCTGTCTGGGCACACTGGCCTCGCTAACTCTGCTTCTGTCTTGTATTCTCCTGGTGCCTTGGGAGACTTGAAGGCAAGCAAGACAGTGTCAATTTTACTGGCAAAACTGCAGCATATGATTGCTCTTAAGTTTAGCCCTCTATCTTTGAGCGGGAGGCAATGACAAACGGTTTATTCTAAGGCCTTTGATTTCCTTTGTAATTGTAAGCATCCAGGCTGACTCATCTCTCAAAGGCTTCTCTCTCTCTCTCTCTCTCTCTTGGCTGGTGTTGTTTTGAGGTTTTCTTGTTTGTTCTTACCTTATTTTGGGGGGAGAGAGGGATTGATTTTCATCTTGATTTTTGGGTTAAAGAACCAGCCTACTCTTTGGATGACCAGATCTGGGAAGCCTTAGAAGAAGTAGCTGAAGCTCCAAAGCAGGTACAAAAATGTCTGAATTGGGGCAAGGGGAAAAGGGGGAAAGGGAGGAAAGGGAAGAAAGGGGGAAAAGGGGGGGGGAGGAATGGGGGAAAAGGGGTAAGGGGAAAAGGGGGGAAGGGAGGAAAGGAGGAAAGAGGAGAAGGGAGGAAGGGGGGAAAGGGGGAAAAAGGGAGTAATGTCAGAAAAATTCAGTCAGAGCGAGGTTGTATGTGTCAGGATGAGACCCTGGGCTAATAGGTTCTGGACCTGCTAGAGATTCAGTCTGGGACTGAGGTGGGTGCTGTGCCGTCTCTTTGGTTAAAATGATCATTTTTGTGGATACAGTTTGGCGGTTGGGCTTAGGCATTCACCTTGGGTCCAGGGGATGGTGCTTTGCAGTTGAAGTAGCTTTAAAAAAAATCCATGCTAAGGATGTTCCTCCTAACTCAGTTCTGAAGCCATAGAAAGACTCCTTGTCTTTTCTCATACTGCACTTCAGTTATCTGGCAGGAATTTATTATTGACATGCATGACTTTGGCCATTAAGGAAAGTGGGCAAAAGAGAATTTTGGAAACAGAAGAGGGGTAGGATTTTTGTGGGTCTGTAGGTTTGTGTGTTTCTTTTGAACAGAGCTCATTTATTAGATTATTGGATGACAAAGTCATCCCTACTTTTCTCTGTTAAAGCCGCATTCCCTGCTCTTTGGAATTTAAGGTTTCCCCCAACTCAATTATAATATATAGAATATTACCATAAAACTCCATGGCAAACGGGAGCTCAGAAAAAAAGATGGCATGTGACCACTTCCTTTCTTGTCAAAAGGTCTAATTCCCCCAAATTATCTTCCCTGTCAAGAACCAGCACCCATTCACTCACCCAAACCATAACCTTTGGAGCTGTTCCAAATTCTTTTCTTTTTATTACAGTTTCCCTAAGTTCCTCAATTCTACCCATAAAATCCATCCCCTGCCCCAGCCCAGTGACAGTGACTTGTATCAGCATCCCTTTGCGTCTTGGCTGATCTACCTACTTCAGACTCTCTACCCAAACCAGGCTTTTCACTGCTCCCTGTGCTTTTTCCAACTGCAGCGCTGACTCTGTCACTCCCCAGTGAAAACCCTGCAGTAGTTCCCTACTGCCTTCAGGAGAAGGTCCAGCTCCACAACATGGCTTAAGGGCCATGCCTGAGCTCATCCCTGCCTAAGCAGATTTATCTCCTTCCACACCCTTTAGACAGCTTTAAGAATGTAAAACCTCTCTCCCGTGTCTCTGCCTTTGCCCAAGCTGATCTCTTTCTGGACGTTCCTCCCCCCCACCCCATCCCTGTCTCCAGGCAGACTTAAATGTCTCCTCCTTTCTGTTCTCACAGTACTTTGTTTATATCTTGGCCACTGACTTATCACAAAGTTTGGTAAATTAAATTGTTGCCACCCTGTGTGTCTCCTTCACTGCACTGTTAGATCTTTTATGAAAAGAGTAGTATTATCTTGCTCATAGTTGAATCTTTAGTGCCTGGCACAAAGTGGGCAGTTCATATAGATTTTTAAAAAATGAATGAATGAAAGAACAAGTGAGTAAAGGAGGCCAGGATGTGCAGGAAAGAATGCTGTATGGGGTCTAGGGAGATCCCCACTGGGGGATCCTAGGTAGCCTGGGAGCAGTCTGAGATAGTGGAAACCATGGAGAAGGGACACATAAAACAAGTTTGCCAATACACTAAGACAAACTTCGGTCTGATCACCAAACCTGTAGTAGGGAGTCCCTCTAGAAATGGCCTCAAAACGATGCTTGTTTGTTTTGGTACAAACTGATGTTTTGTTCATGAAAAAAAAAATCATATAATCAAGTTGTACAATTTTTGGTAAATAGAAAAAAGGCAAAAGGCAAACAAAATCTTACCACTTAATACGGATGCTGTTCTTACTGGGGTGCATTTCTTTCAATCTTTTATTTTTATGCATGTTTTTCTTCACATGGTTGTAATCATACAATTCTATATTTTGTATTTGCTGTTTAGAAGCTCTTTGTAAGCCTCACTTTAATGATTACATAATTTTCCAGACTGTGGTCATTCCATAATTTATATAACTAGTCTTGTTGCTGGCCTAGCTTTTCCCCCTTACATGTTTTCTTGTTATGGCTCATGTACATATAGTTTTTACTGTCCAAAGTAAGATTTCATTAGGATAGATTCCTAGAAGGGAATTACTGGGTCAAAGGGCCTGGGGATGATGTTTGGCTCCATACTTATGTGTCCAGTTTGCTTTCTGGAAGAGCTGTGCAGATTTTCAGTGCTCCTAACCTAGATGGATGTGCCCATTTCATCCAACCTGGCCAGCATAGAATAGTATCATTAAAAAATAAAAATGAACTCCATCACTGTTCTAATTAATTGATGGAAAATATTACCTTATTCTTGTCTCAGTGTACATTTTAAAATTGTGAATAAGGTTGGTTGATTTTCTTTCTAATCTTTTTTTTCCTTCTTTTTTTCTTTTTTTCCTTTTCTTTCTTTTGTTTTTCGTTTGTTTTCTGGTGGGTTTTTGTTTTTGTTTTTGTTTTTGTTTTGGTTTTTTGCCTAATTAGGTTTTCTCTTTTCTGGACTGTCGGTTCAGGGCTGATTTTTTTTTAAGCTTTTTTTTTTTTTTTTTTTTTTTTTTTTTTGCCTTTTTTTTTTTTTTGTTTTTTTTTTTTTTTTTTTAAATAAGCAACCAGAGGCAGCTCTCCTTGAGGGTGAAGCCGCCTCCCAGTCTTCCCTCCCCCTTTGCCACCCTCTCCACCCCCTACAGTTCCTTCCACCAGGTCCAGTGACAATTGGATGATGCAGCCTTGATAATCATCCGATTCCAGAATGGGTGGCTGCATTCCTTTTCTGAAGGCAGCAAGGACACTGTGTCCCAGAATTATGCCCCCTTTGCTGTTATTGTCCGCTTTCATTTTTTTAGTGAACGTCCTGGGAGGAGCCCCAGGACACAATCCGGACCGCAGGACGAAGATGATATCAATACACAGTCTGTCGGAGCTGGAGCGTCTGAAGCTGCAAGAGACTGCTTACCACGAACTCGTGGCCAGACATTTCCTCTCTGAATTCAAACCTGACAGAGGTGAGCCGGCCCCGAGCGTGGCGTCCCCGCCTTCGGGCGAGCGGACCCCCGGGCGAGACGGGCAGAGTCTGGGGTCCACGAGGGTGGGAGGGGCTCCCGCTCCCGTCCCCGGGCGCCCAGACAACCGAGGAAGCGGGAGTTGAAAGGTGTTCGAATAGTGGGAGAGATCAAGATTAGCTGAGTTGGGTCGAAGCCTGGGGGGCTTGAGGGGCTGTCAGACAGCCAGGTGGACAGAGCGCAGGTGAAGAGACTGACGCACCAGGTGCGGTGCGCGAAAGAGTCAGAGGGAGGCGGTGGCGCAGAGGGACACTCTGGAAGGGACCAATACGCACAGAGACCGCGCGCTCGAGAGACGGCGAGTTCAGGGAGATACCGAGACAGTGGGAGAGACAAGCGCCAATCCGGGCTCAGAGCGGGAGGGCTGTGCGGGCGCGGGAGCGTGGCAGGAGGTGCGCTTCGAGCGCTGCGCACCTCGGCCCGCTGCGGGGGAGCGAGCGGGACAAAGCCCTGGATGGGGTCCGAGCGTGTGTTGGGGGGTCAGGGGTACTCGCGGACTCGGTGGCCCAGAGGAGGTGGGAGGAGGCGCGCGGGCCCAGGGGCCCCCCTGCGGCAGTGAAAGGGCGGGGGCGTGGGCTCGCCAGGCGCGCGCAGCGGGAGCGGCCTGAGGGCGCCAGGAGAGCGTCAAGGAGACCCCGCTGCAGGGGTCTGAGCGCCGCGATGGCGCAAGTCGCGGTTTCTCGGGCTGCGGCTCCTGAAGCCGACGGCAGCCGGGGCTTGAGCGCGCCTGCGGGAACTTGGAGACCCCTACTTGCTGCCGCGCCGCAGGTGGAGTCCCTCCCCTAGCCTGTTGCACTGTTCCGGCGCCTCAGAGCCCGCAGTTGATGCCTGAAGCCTAGTGTGGAGCTACTGCCGTGCTCGACACGGTGTGCGGTGCGCACGCGGCGCCTCCAGTCGTCTGATCCGGTTAAATTCTTAGAGACTCAGGTGTGATAGATAGGCTTGTTCCCGTTGTCAGACGGGGAAACTGAGGTTGGGAGAAAGCACAACACTTTGAGCGTGCTGGATCAGACTGTTTGCCATCCTCCTCCCTGCAGATCAATACATTGAGATGTTTTCGACACTTATTAAATCCTTTTTGTGTGAGCGTGCGTGTCTTTTCTTTTTCTCTTTCCATAGCTCTACCTATTGACCGTCCAAACACCTTTGAGAAGTGGTTTCTGATTCTGAGAGGACAGCAGAGGGGTGAGGGGCTTTCTTACTTCTCTTAGGAACTAAATGGGCTGGTGACACCCCCCCCCCATATTGTGTCCCTAGCTACTGGAGGCTGGGCGGTGCCCACTGCGGCTGGGGGCTCACCCCCCCAACCCCCTAGGGGATGATTTCAGGAAATGGCGCACTAGCTACAGGCACGCAGCGGTCCTAGCTGATCTGCCTAAGCCTTCCCGGTGCACCCACTCCAGATCGCCCAGAAGAAACTGCCCTCATTGTTTCGAGGCTGTCACCTCCTGGCAGGACTTAAGGCAGGGACCTTGAGCTCCGTCGGGGTAGTTTGAGTGGAGCTGAGTCCTTCCGCCACACCGCTGCAGGGTTTTTTTGGTCGCTCCCCGGGGAGGGGCGCTGTGGGTCTGGAGGGGTGGGGTTGGCGGCGGGCGGTTGCTTAGAAGTGTGGGTGCCACAGCCCCTGCAGTTCCTCCATATTTAAGCGCTGCGGAGCGTTGACGTTTCTCATTCTTTCTCTCACTGGCTTCCCAGTCGTATCACTGAAGACATTTGGCATTCGTCTGGAAGAGGTGCTGGTGAATGAGCTTACCCGCCGCAAGCATCTTGAACTAACAGCCGCGATGCAGATTGAAGAATCCACCGGTCAGGCTGCGGGCCGTCGTCGGGGAAATGTGGTGCAAAGGATGTTTGGCCGCATCAGGCGCTTTTTCAGTCGCAGGCGGGATGAGCCCTCCTTGCCCCGGGAGTTTACTCGCCGTGGGCGTCGAGTGAGTTAAAGGTTCAGGCAGTGGTTCAGGCGGTGGCCCTGAGGCATCCAGAGATGCGGTTGGGGGGGGGGGCGGCAGGAGTATCAAGACCTGTGTCCTCAGAGGAAGGGGGGAGATGAACGGAACATGTTGGAGGGGTGTAATTGGCTTGCCACGGAGGGACTGCCTCCTGTTATGAATGTAACGCAATCCTCTGGGAGGTCTGAAGGGACCCTCCTGCCCCCCCTCCCCCATTTTTAAGATAGTCTGGGTCTCTCCACAGGGTGCAGTATCTGTGGACAGCCTGGCTGAACTGGAGGACGGGGCTCTGCTGCTGCAGACCCTGCAACTTTCCAAGATTTCCTTTCCAATCGGCCAGCGACTTCTGGGATCCAAAAGGAAGATGAGCCTCAATCCGATTGCTAAACAAATCCCCCAGGTTGTTGAGGCTTGCTGCAGCTTCATTGAAAAACATGGTAAGGGGACCTGGAAATGATGTCTAAATCAAGGTAGGCAATTAAAGGGAAAGAATGGTGTTCTAGAAAAGGGGAGAGAAAAGAGGTCATGTGGTCAAGGATGGGAACATTCCCCTGCCCCCAGTTGGTGTTGGGATTCAGCTGGGGAAAGGGGAAATGCGGTGGGGAAGGGGGCCAGAGATACTTAGCATCCCTTGGTCTTTTCTTTCAGGTTTAAGCACGGTGGGGATTTTCACCCTGGAATACTCAGAGGAGAGAGTGCGTGAGGTAAATTGGTTATGTTTATACTTACGTTCCCTGACTGAGGGAAAGCAGGTGGGGGTGTGTGTGGGGTTCTCCTCCCCCACAGACCTGGGGGAGTTTCATGCTTGGGGTGTGTGTTGGGGGCCAATGAAAATCTTCTTTCTAGCCCCTGAGGGTCACCATATTGCCAGCTACTTCCACTGAAGCTTGAGGCAGGAGGTGGCCTGTGGTGGGCAAGGCAGAGGATCCATGTATTCTCTCCCCTTTTCCTAGCTCCGTGAAGAATTTGATCAAGGGCTTGACGTCGTGTTGGATGACACTCAGAACGTACATGATGTGGCTGCACTCCTCAAGGAGTTTTTCCGTGACATGAAGGACTCTCTGCTGCCAGATGATCTGTATATGTCCTTCCTTCTGACAGCAAGTAAGTCTTCTGCTTTCCCTTTTCAGGCAAGCAAAGTAAGTAGTATGGGGGTGTGGAGGTCTTGGGACAAGAGCTCTCGCTGCAGGACCCCAAAGAACTAAAACAGAATAAACATCAGAAGATGAAAACACCTATCCAGTTTGCTTTTCTTGTATCTCTTAATATTCCATTGTAAGTCTATTGTTTGGAAATTTCTCTAGAGCTTCTTGAAGCTTTGTCTGCCTCTCAGGGCAAAGAAGAACCTAGGTTCTATAGAAGGGGTCTGATTTTGATGGGATCACTTTCTTGCTTTTAGGGTTCTTGAGCTCAAATACTTTGGGAATGAGCAAAGACAAGATGCCTGGGTTCTTTCTCCATAGCTTTCCTTAGTTTTCAAGCATCATCACATCTCTCTTGATACCAGGTTGCTGCCAAGGTTAGCCCCCTGAGCCAGCCCTTGTTTTCCTTCTTCTAGCTCTAAAGCCACAGGATCAGCTTTCTGCCCTGCAACTGCTGGTTTACCTGATGCCACCTTGCCATAGTGACACCCTGGAGCGTCTGCTGAAGGCCCTGCATAAAATCACTGAGAATTGCGAGGACTCTATTGGCATTGATGGACAATTGGTAAAAACAAAACAAAACAAACAACAACAAAAAACGGCTCTGGAAAAGAGTTATGAGAGTAGTAGGGGACATGTGTGGGAGTATATGAGAGACAGAGACACACAGTAGGAGAGGGAAACAAGAACAAAAAGAGACATTTATAATTTTGTCATTTCCATCAGCACCTCGGAGTTGAGCACTTTTGTTTTCCTTTTCATAGGTTTCAGGCAACCGTATGACTTCTACCAATTTGGCTCTGGTGTTTGGATCTGCTCTGCTGAAGAAGGGAAAATTTGCCAAGAGAGAGTCCAGGAAGACAAGACTGGGGATTGACCACTATGTTGCTTCTGTCAATGTGGTCCGTGCCATGATTGATAACTGGGATATCCTCTTCCAGGTAAATGGAACCTCTGGACAAACTTACTTCACAGCTTTCTCTCTCCTATTCGCGAGGCAAAGGAGAGATGTACATGCATCCCTGATGGTAGCCAAAGCAGGCAGCCACCAAATTTTCCAGAAATTCCTCCTGCATTAGATGGTTATGGCTCCTTCAGTCCTGGGTACCTGATAGAGATGAGTCTACATTTAAAATGTCATATAATAAAGGCTAACATTGCTCATTTTACCCTCAGGTGCCTCCCCATATTCAGAAGCAGGTTGCTAAGCGCGTGTGGAAATCCAGTCCTGAAGCCTTGGATTTTATCAGACGCAGGAATTTGAGGAAGATCCAGTGAGTGTTTTGTCGGTTTGTTTAAGCTTAGCCTGAAGCAGCATTGCCTGTGGGGGTTCTAATCCCAGACCACCATCGTGTTAGACAATCTAAGTAAAAAAAACTGACTTGCTTTTTAAAATTCATTCCCATCCAGGAGTGCACGCATAAAGATGGAAGAGGATGCCTTACTATCTGATCCAGTGGAAAATTCTGCTGAAGTCCGGGCTGCTGTCCTTGCTCAGAGCAAGCCCTTTGATGAAGGTCAGTTCCCTGCTGGAGGTCAGGCCCTTGGTGAAGGTCAGTCCCTTGGTGAAGGTCAGGCCCTTCCTGAAGGCCAGGTCCTTGCTGAATATGAGCTCCTTGGGGAAGGTGAGTCCTCTGAGGAAGATGTGTCAGTCCATGAAGAGCTAGTATTTGAGTATCTCAATCAAGGAGTAGCCTTTGGGGAAGTTCAAGGTCTCGAGATCCCAAATGACCTTGAGATTCAAGGCCCACATCTTGAAGGCATCCCAGAGCTTGATGAAGAAGATGATGATCACAATGACAGTGATGACAATGATGATGATGATGATGATGATGATGATACCCTGAATTTTGATGATCTTCCTCCCCTTGAAGATATTTTAGACCCTGATGATGAAGTTCCTGAACTCATTGAAATACCAGACTTTGAAGAAATACCATATTTTGATATGGTCCCAGACCCCGAAGGAGCCCCAGATATGCAAGAAATCCCAAATCTTGGAGAAAACCCAAACTCTGACTTTGAAGAAGGACCAAATTTTGAAGATAACCAAAATCTTGACCTCACACAAATTCCTTATCTCCATGTAATCCCAAACAATGAAGTCCCAGACACCTGTGTAATCACAGACCACACAGATGCTTCAGGTAATGATGAAAACCCAGATTCTGAAGAAGATCCCAATCTTGAAGAGGTCTCAGCTCTTGACGAAATCCCAAATGATGAATCCTCAAATGCTGAAGAAATTCCAGACCATGAAGAAACCCCAGAGCTCAATGAGATTTCAGATTCTGATGAAAACCTTGATTTTGAAGAAGTCCCAGCTCTTCACATGGTGCCAAGCCCCGAAGAAGCCCCTGGGGGTCATGAAATCCTAAATCATGAAGAATCCCTGGAGAGTAATGGACTCTCAGACTCTGAAGAAGATCCCCACCTTGAAGAGGTGCCAACTCTTGATGGAGTTCCAAATGATGAAGAAACCTCAGTTACTGAAGAAATTCCACATCAGGAAGAAACTCCAGAAGTCAATGGAATTGCAGGCTCTGAAGAAGACTCCAGCTCTGAAGAGGTCCCAGCTTTCCATGTGGTAACAAGCCCTGAAGATGTGTCTGATTTTGATGAAATTCAAGACCAAGAAGAATCTTCAGATGTGAGTGAGGTCCCAAACAGTGAAGAAGCCTCAGATGCTGAAGAAATCCCAGAACACAAAGAAGCCTCTGATGTCAGTGGAATCCAAAGCTCTAAAGAAAGCCTCAATCTTGAAAAAGACTTAGTTCTTACTGTGGTTCTAGAACCTGAGGATGCTCGAGTTCACAACAAAATTTCCAGTTCTCTGAAAGACAAAGCCAACACCTTTGAAGAGGATGAAGTTAGCAATTTGGTTCCAGAACCTGAAGAAATGTCCATTCTCAGCACAATTCCAGACCCTCAGCCAGACCTGGCCGTCAGTCTTGCAGAAATCATGAATGTGGAAGCTGTCCCGATGCCTAATGATCTTGGTTCCAAAGAATTTTGGAGTCCAAAGGCAATCCATAAAGAAGATGCAGATGTTACATTTCCTGTAGATACAACCCTCCTTAAAAACAAGTCTTGGCCTGGCCAAGTCATGAACCACAAGTCCTCCCCAGAGTCATTGATGACTGACACCTGTTTTCTCCCCTCCATGAAGTGCTGTAAACTTCCAGCTCCAACTTTGTTACTCATTTGCTTAGTGAAATTAGTCAGGCTGCTTATAGGGTGGTGGTGGTTGTTAGGAGGCCACCCTCTTCCCCACCTTCCTGGTGGTGGTGTCCGTTTGCTCTGAGCACAGGGTATCTGTCTCACTCTTTCTGTTCTCTAACTCAGCCCTACCCCCAACACCTTCCACAGTGGGCCTAGATTTAGAGATCTATATTCTACTGTTAGGCTGCAGTTTCCTTAACATGTCAAATGGGGATACTCACTCCTATCCTAACTTCTTGCCTTGTATTGTATTTGAAGGGCTAAATTAGGTCTTAGTCTTTTGGGTGCTGTGCAAAATATAAAGTCTAGAAACATAAGGAGTTAACATTGTTACTATTTTCCAGGTTCCTCTGAGGAGCCAGCTGTGCCTCCCGGCACTGCCCGTTCCCATGACGATGAGGAAGGAGCGGGTAACCCCCCCATTCCAGAGCAAGACCGCCCATTGCTCCGTGTGCCCTGGGAAAAGGAGGCCAAAACTGGCATCGGCTACTTCTTTCCTTAGATGTTTTTCCTTCTATAAGGTGCCAGACAGGGGAAAAGGGTGGGGGTAGACCTGGGATGTCACAGGAAACATTGAGGAGAATGTTGAAGGTAAAGATCTGAGGGTAAGAAGGATTTCCACCTGATGCTCGGGTCAGGCTGAGAATTCCAAACACACTGCCAGCCTCTTCACTGGGGATGTTTGGTCCCTTTAGCCAGCAAAAGCAGCAATGTTTCCGTGTCATGCCCAGGCTCCCTGGTGCTACCTTGCCTTTCTCTTTTACCCCTGATCTTGGCTTTTCCACAGTGCAGCCCTTCCTTTAATTGATGTGACATTTGTGGTAAATACCTTGTCCCAGAGAAGCTCACAAATCTCGAGGTGCTTTCCCTCTCCCCAAAAGGGAATTGCATGCTTTTCCTGACTTTCCTTCCCTCCTCCCGAGAGCTCAATTGGAAAGGCCCTCAAGAGGCATGCTAGGACGTAGGTCAGCCTACTGATAGCTGACAAAAAAATTAATGCTAGACCATGTCACACCAACTCATAGCCATGTCCCCGCAGCAACTCCACCACCTCAGGATTTCCTCCCCCTAAATTATTTAGACCAATGGTTCATCCAAAAGCCACTCCCAAAATTCTGTGCAGTTTGGCTCAGGTCATGCTAACAGGGAAACCTCAAGTGTAAGCCTAACTAGCCTTCTGGGATCAAAAGTTAGAGGAAAAATTTGATTTTATTACCTAGATCTGTTTTACAGACAACTGGAATTAACATCCTGTTGTCAGCAAAACAACTAGTTAGGTAGAAACACATAGTTCCAAGTAGCTAAAGTCACCTGATTATAAATGTTCTTAACTATCGTCTCTGTAGTTCCTCTATGCAGGACGGTACAAATTTGCGGGACATGCTCTGGTAACACACAGATATGGGTTATGTACGACATCCAAAATTATAGCTGATATTGATGGGTAACAACTGCTAAGGTCCATAGAATGAAGAATGTATTGTATTGAGGGATAGAAATTGATCACACAATGGGTAACAACCGCAGAGCTCGAAGATTTGTGATTGTTAAAACTTCTCTGGCATTTAATCATTAATAAACATCTGTATTGTGACTGCAGCATATTCATGGCTTACTGTGTGTGTGTGTCTTTTTTTTTTTAATTTGAAAATTGTGTTGGTGAGTTGGGAAGCTCTGATTGGAGCTGAAGAGGAAAGAGAGGTAGGAAGAGGAATAAAGGAGAGGGGTGACATGGAATAATGGGATGGAGAGGAATGGAATAAAGCAAAGGGGGAGATGTGGAATAAAGGGGAGGGGTAATGAGGCCTAACTGGTTGAGATGACATGGAATAAAGGGGAGGGGTAATGAATAAAGGTGAAAGATGATGTGGAATAAAGGGATGGAGGTGATAAGGACAAAAGGGGAGGGGTGATGGGGAATAAAGAAGAGGTGATGAGGTATGAAGGGGAAGGGTGACATGGGATAAAGGGATGGATGTGATGGGAAGAAGGAAGGTTATGGGTGATAAAAAGCAGGAGTGATGCAGAATAAAGAGGTGGTGATGGAGAATAAAGGGGAAGGGTGGGTGACATGGAATAAAGGGGAGAGTAGTATGGGATAAAGAAGAAGAGGGTGATGGGCAGTAAAAAGGTGTAAAATGGAAGACAGGAAAAGAGTTGTGGTTGAATAAAGAGAATGGAAAAGTTAAAGTAGAATAAATAGATAAAAGGGAGGGGTGATGGGAATAAAGGGGCAGAGGTGATGGGGTATGAAGGGAAAGAGTATTGTGGGATAAAGGAGAGGGCATGATGTGGGATAAAAGGGTGGATGTGATAAGTACAAAAGGTGTTATGGTGAATAAAAAGCCAGGGTGATGGGGAATAAAGAAGCGGTGATGGGAAATAAAGGGGAGAGGTAGGTGACATGGAACAAAAGGGAGGGGGGATATGGGATGAAAGGGAGGGATGATGGGGAGTAAAGGGGAGGAAGTGATGGGGTATGAAAGTGAAGGGTGTTGTGAGATAAAGGGATGGAGGTGATGGGGACAAACGGGGGTTATGGGGAATAAAGAGGGGAATAAAGAGGCAGAGGTGCTGGAGAATAAAGGGGAGAGGGAATATGGGTGGAGAGGAAGAGGGTGACAGGGTGTAACAGGGTGTTGAATAAAGAGAATGGAAGAGTTAAAGTAGAATAAGTGGGATAAAAGGGAGGGTGATAGGGAATAAAGGGGCAAAGGTAATAGGTTATGAAGGGGAAGGGTGTTGAGGGATAAAGGGGGGGTGATGTGGGATAAAGGGGTGGATGTGATGAGGACAAAAAAGGGGTTATGAAGAATAAAAATTAGGGGTGAGAATAAAAATGTGGAGATGATGGGCAGGTGACATGGAATAAAGGGGAGGGACATGGGATAGAAGGGAGGGGTGATGGGGAATAAAAGGGAGGGAGGGGTGAAACGGAATAAAAGGGAGGAGGAACATGGGATAAAGAGAAAGGGGGAGTAAAAAGGAGTAAAATGGAAGACAGGGGAAGAAGTGTAGTTGAAAAGTTAAAGTAGAATAAATGGTTAAGGAAGAATGAAGGAAAAGTAGGGGAAAGAATGAAGCTTAAGAGGAGGACCTCTAAAGGGGGAAAGGAGAGGAATAAAGATTGCTAGATGTTCTCCACTGAGAAATTCCCCTTGGTCTTGTGAAAAATGAAAACCTGAAAACATCTGGAAATCTGTGATTTTTAGGGGTAAGAGAAGAACATGTAGCTGTTTGATTGATGGAACCTCCAATCTTTTTTGAAAACTTAAGACTTCATGACATGCTTGGAAACTTCCCATATCTGGGACAGGGCCCCAGAAAGTGAAGTGTTGTGTATTTTTATTTTTGTACACTTCGCTTTAGGATATATCCTGTGTAGAGTTTTACAGAGAGCAGAAATGTCATATTGGTTCCCTCCCATAATAATTATAATCATTATGATGATAGTTGACACATAGTGAGTTCTTCCAAAGTGTCTGCCACTGGGTTTGAAGCTTTACATGCTTCATTTTATTTAATATTCACCGCTCTATGAGATACATGCTACTGTATTCCTCATTTTTGTCTTGAAGAAAATGAGATACAGAGAGGCTAATAATCTGCCCAAATGACACATCTGGTTAGTGGAAAACAACCAGTGTCCAAAGCTGGAGTGTTTAACCACTAGATTGTGCTGGGGCATCTATTTTAGAATTCTTCCTCTGACAAGAAGTTGCACAGTGATATCTTTGGGCAGTTTTTTGGATGGGATTTGCACTTCAACAAGCAAGTTTCATTTTCTTTCCTCCAAGGTCTTTCTCTCTAGATAGGACAAGATGCTAGACAATAACTGCTATGTCAGTTGGATCCCAGCATTTCTATCTACGGCCCATAGATATTAAAGCCAGTGGGAGATACAGAGCTCATGAATTTCAACTCTTTTGTTATATAAATGGTCACACAAGGTCTTCTATTGGGAAACAACTTGCTTGAGGTCAGAGATCTGGATTAATATTCAGATAAACATCCTGACTGCCAGAACCCAGAATTTTATGGGACTACATAGTAAAATGTGTCCCCAGAAGAGTTTGCCTGTTCTGTCCCCACTCAGCTTAAAAACCAGCACACAAGCCAGCTAATAAGCAGGAAAATAGATTGGTTCAAAACATTCCCTTTTACTGCTTGGCCTTCCCTGAAACCAGGTTTTTTCCTAATCTTATTGTTTCCCTTAATTTCTTCCCCGGTGCTGATTGCTAACCAGAGGGTATGAGCTGAGAGTGGTGAGTAGATGTGGGTATTATCTCCACTCTTCCCCATACTCTAAGGGCAATTTTAATAGGCTTCTTCAACACTCCAAGTCCTGTCCTCCTCCTAGGTAGACCTCATCAATAACCACATGGAAGACCCATCCCACACACTCTGACTTCACCACCCTGCCCTTTCACTTCTTAGCCCTTCAACCACCCCCAGCCACTTGGCATCACCGGGGATAACTGGACTTCTGAAGACTCAAATTCAATATCCCACTGTGACTCGAATTTCCTAACAGTGGCTGGGTCCTGTGTCATCTGTTATTTGGCCTCATTGAGGTGCCCAATACCGTGAGCCTTTCCTTTCCTCTATTTATTTTCTTATCCAGCCACATGTCAAGGCATATTGATATAGAACTGACCACATCTTCAACCCCTTGCCCTCCAAATACCACATCTGTGCTAGTTAGTCTCAACTTTTGAGGTCCTCTGAAAATCTGATCTCTTCAATCTCATAATGACCACTGTGGTGCATCTAATAGAATTTCTAACATGAGCTGGTTCCTCAGGCCACTCAGCAATCTTTTCATATGCCCCAGGTCATCTCCTTCTCTAATTCTCTGCTCATTCATATTCCATTTCTACATTATTCCCATTAAATAACAGCCCTTTTGACTCTAACTCACCTCAAATACATCCTCTCTTCCGCCTTTTTTCTGGTTTTCTTTCCTCTTCTTTTCTTGTTTCTTTAGGTAGGAACTTACATTACTGTTTTTCTGTCTTCTAATGTAAACATTTGGTACTTTCACAGTGTACTACAAGTTTTGATATGTCATATTTTCATTCTGTTCAATGTATTTTTTATTTCCCTTGAGAATTTCTTTCTCCTTGACTCATGGATTATTTAGAAGGTTAGTTTCATTTCCAAGTGTTTTACAAGTTCTCTCTTATCTTTCTGCTATTGATTTGTAGTGCTGCCTGGCTCACCTGTTGTAGGTGGGAATTCCTTTTGATCTAGAGGAAGAATGAGCCTTCCTAGGTCACCTTCTGTTGCTAAAATGAAGCTGGCATTCAGGAATTGGCAGGCCTGGGTCACCTCTTTCTGTTGGGTGAGAAGACATAGGATGTCTTGATACTGTCCTGTTTCTCCAGTCCTGGGATCTCAAACCAGTACAGTACACCTTCCTCCTTCACCTTTCAGAATTCTCCTTCAGTTTGCTCTTAAGTTATTTCCAGGGTTTATAGTTGTACATAGTAGGAAGGAGCT